TAGTATATATGCAACCAAATCACTGAAACAGGAAATGCCGTTATATAATCACGTTCGAGCTAGGCCAAGAAAAGAAGCAATAAGAAATGTGATTTGATAATCACCGTGACAATGCAATCAAGCTTGACCTCCGATTCTAACTGTTCATCCAACCAAAGAACAGAAGCCAGAGGCGCTGGATTTGCCAAACCAGTAGTCTCCAGCAATATATGATCAAGCCTAACACAAGAAATCAGAAACAGAAGAACATCAAATATACTAAATTCACATCCCTTTCTTCAAATTGTAAGCGGAAATAATTTACACCCTTTCTCGAAAACCCGGGTTGTCCTGGATTTTAATTCCTCAGCTCCAACAATCAAAAGGAAGCTTAAAGACAAAACAATTGAACGCATAACCAAGGACTTCACCAAAAAACTTGGAGCTTTTCAACTCATGAACATCGCGTATCTCTCACCATGCCAAAAGCCCCGAAATATTCACGATTCCGACCAGAATAAGACAATCAGAAGACAAATTTCAGAGTACAAACTCGGTTGGGATCGGAAACGAGAAAGAAAGAGCCAAAACGACCTGTCTTTTCTCTGCACAAGCTGCTCAAGAGCTTGAACAAGACTATGTTTTACCGTGCAGCAAATACAGCCATTAGCAAGCTCAACCCATTCTTCGATAAGTGCACCTCCTTCCCCTTCGTTAATCATGGCCCTCTCCACTCCTATCTCCTCGCCAAACTCATTCAATATCACCGCGATTCTCTTCCCGTGGTTCCCATTCAATATATAATTCACAAGCTGTGAAAATCAATCAGACAATAGCGTAACCAATCGCAGACCAGAACCCATATCATTAATCAGCGAAAAGAGCAAAACCCCATTCGACGAATTGGAGGGTATTATCAGTTGCTTACGGTGGATTTTCCGGCGCCGAGATAGCCGGTGATGACGGTGACACCCACCGAAACAGTGACGCATCGTTCTTTTTCCGGCGTAGTCAGTCCGTAGGAGAAGGCAGGTTCGATTAGGACAGCCATGGGAGGCTCTTCGTCGTCCGCCATTTCCACTCTTTCGCCTTCTTCTCCGCCGTCGCCGGTTTTATGCCTGCGCGAAGAACCTTCTAAATGCATAAGAGACTTCACCGCAACCATCGATGCCTTTTTCGACAGGTGCGATTGTGACCCATAGTTTATTCTCATCAATTTCATACACCAAGTTTTAAATGTTCACTCTAAGTCCTTAATCTGATGATCAAATGGTTAATCATATGTATACAAAAAAAAAATTTACTTGAATTGATTAATCGAAAAGCTATATACCAATTATATATGTGAATTAGTAAAGATTGAAAATAATATCCAAGATACACATGATTCACTCAGTTCGCATATCATGTTCGATAGAATTAAAAAAAAAAAAATCAAAACCCCAAACACTAATTAAATCGTATAATTAAATTATAAACTCTCAAGGTATATACATATTTCCTTACTTCATCATGGAGTCTTGTAGTAGCCGAACTTCGAATAAAGCTTTGTTACAACATGAATGTTGATTGGAGGCGTTATATTATACGCATGAATGCATGTACATTTTTGTAAATATATACGTACATATACATTTGTATTCGTGTGCGTGTGTATATACTTAATATATTTGCAGTAGCATCTCGAAACGAAATCTATCTATCTATATATATATATATATATCTCATCTCTACAGTGGGTTAAACAGGAAAGTGACACGTGTCCCACTTTTTTGTTAATAAATACAATTATATATATTTAATATAAGAAGTTACAGAAATAAATACATGTTGAATAAATTAGATATTTAAAACATTAACTTACATGGTTTTTTGTGTCAAAAATAATCATCATAGTACAGTGGGTTAAACAGGAAGGTGACACGTGTCCCACTTTTTTTTTAATAAATACAATTGTATATATTTAATATAAGAAGTTATAGAAATAAATACATGGTGAATAAGTTAGATATTTAAAACATTAACTTACATGGTTTTTTGTGTCAAAAATAAATACATGCATCGATCATTCACATATATTGACTAGATTCAAATAATTATAATATCATCTAATTTCAATAAAAAAAAGTTAAATATATAGAAAATATTGAATCTATTTAAAACCAGAGATGACACGTGTTCATAATATTTATCCTTTTAATTGTTTCGTTGATCTATTTATTTAATTATAATAATCAATTCTTTTATTCCTTCAATTCAATGCATTTAAAATTTATTTATTTTAATATTATTTTATGTTCAGCCCACCACTTTTGTTTTTATTTGTAATTCAATGTATTACGAAAACTCTTTATACATACATGTTAAAACCATTAATAAGATTCAAAAATCTTTGAATCGGTTTAAGTTTTCTTTCATCATTTACATTTGTTAATGCCAAGACAATTTATTTAAAATGAATTCATTGAACATTAGTTATTTCAATTTTAAAAATTCTATACTATAAAATGGTAATGTGATTCCATCAGCAATCCATCGGTCAATTTGGTTTTTCACTATTGCTGCCCGAGAGAAGAACCATGTATGATCATCGATCATACATATAATCTTTCTTTTTCTGCCTCTGAGTCGCTCGATGATAGCAATTCAGACTACCAATCGTGGAATGACGATTCGCAGTTGCGGTTGAGAAGCGAAAGAAGAATGACAACGTCAGAAGTGAAGATAGAGTAGTCGGGAGGTTTCGGCGGAGGTAGACAGAACGATATCGCATCGAAGAGACGAGACTCCGCCATGGATGATATCAGAAGATGAGGAAGAAGGAGAATACCGTTGCTGTAGGGTAATCGAATAAACGAAAATGGCTCAGAGAAAACCTTTATAGAGAGACGACAGATAAAAAAACCGAAGACTCGATGCAGAGGAGAGAGTGGAGGCGCATGGCAACGGCGCGTGAAGGACAAAGGATGCAATTTTGGTTAATATCAGGAAACACTGCTGTCCTCTCCATCTCTTTGTGAAATGGCTTGGTATTCTTTGTCGATGATATGACTATGGAGACAATGTCTGCTATGTGGTCTTTTTGCTACCTTCTTCTTTTTGCCCTAAATATTTTTTTTAAAGATAACAAATGTACTATATAGAGTTAATAGTATTAAAATTTAATCATATATGAGAATATATTTTGTAATGCCTTACTCAGCTTTTTGTAAATATTTTTGAAGTTAATGAATATAAAGTACCTTTAACCAAAAAAAAATTAATCATATATTTTTCTTTACATAACCAAGAAAATATTGTTGTTCTCTTCCAAATTAATTTATGACCCAAAATCAATGAAACTTAATGAGAGATTAACTATTTTATATCTATTTAAGCAAAAAACTGGACCATTTTTGACAGGTGAATCATGATCAACAAAACCATATGCAATGCTATAGTTATTAAATGTATTTTGTAGAACCATACAAAACCTTGCATACAAAATTACAACATAACTACTATTACAACTTACAAATTTAATTTGTAGCGTATAACTAAAATCGCTTTCTAAAAGAAACACTCAAAAAAAAAAGAAACAGGTGTGTTTCGAAAAAGAAGCGTGATAAGAGAATCAAAATCAAATTGGAGATAAGAAACATAATAAGATGATTACTGCAATATAAGAACTAATTAGTTATGTGTTCTTTGTGTATGTATGTGTTTGGTATGCAAGTTTGATGATGGTGATACGATGATGATGATTATACGTGCAGAGTAATTGTTGGGTTCCCTGCGGATTCCTAGCATGCGATCTCATCGATCTAGGATTTGGTTTCTAGGTTTCATGCAACGGAAGAAAAAGATCTAAACCTAGCCAAACGTCACACAAAACCAATTGTGCAATAACCCGAAAGAACGTGTATATCACCGTGGGATTCGAATACTTACATCATTCTATCAAGATCTAGAAGTATCAATCGATCCAGGACCTGTTTTAATCACCAAGAGTTGAAAGCACAACTCCTCTACATGTATTCACACCGGCGGGATGAATTCCAACACTTTGGAACGTATTTACTAGGATTTGTGAAGAGAAAACGACGTCCTTAACTTGGAATCGATATTCCAGAGTTTAGAACTCAGAAGAAAGCTTCTCTAAGCCTCTAGAAAGAGTCTAGGACGTCTGAGGATGATTGCTTAGGGTTTGTGGCGGCTTCCTTGATTAATTAAGATTGCCCAAAACCCTAAAACGAGAAAAAAAAAACTATCCCGTAAGTCGGACCGTCCGGTCTAGGTCTGGACCGGACGGTCTGGCTTCTAGGCGGAACCTACGTTTTGTTTTTCCTCGAAGAACGAACGGTCTTGACGCCTGGACTGTCTGGTCCAGGTCTGGACCGGACGGTCTGGCCCTTGCGGAACGGACAGTCCATTTTCACTAGAACGGACGGTCCGGAACGGCTGGACCGGACGGTCTGGCCATCTGGAACTCTTCCAACTCTTTCCGTCGTTCATTTCTCGCGTTGTTCTCTTCACGTGTGATCCATCCCTAATGGTGTGTGATCCTGTAGGCCCATTCGAAGTGGTAGTGGCTTCGGAAACCCTTTCCCGAACCACAAGTCACGGTTAGCCTCTAGTAAGACGTCATGACCACCCACCTAGAATAGAGTTAGAGGTGATCTAACAAAGCCAGCAATAGTTCAAGTTATGATCCTTTGTCTCACGATGTCGTATGTTGAACAAGGGCATGGTATGAGCCACCCTTCAAGTTCAACCGCTTACTCGTCTAGGCAAATTGACTGATAAAATAGATGTAACTTAATCTATAGCATGGCCACGCATTTTTCACAGTCCGATTTCCACGAGGGGCCCAGCGACATCTCTCCTGATTAGGAGGTTACAAGTCCCGTATTGCATGTTTACTATCTCCATATGATTCGTGAACGTATCTGATCAACGCCGTTATAATCATCCGGTTAAACACGACGTTCATATGATTCGTGAACGTATCTGAGCAACGCCGTTATGATCATCCGGTTAAAGACGACGTTTGACGCAGTCAAGACACGCCACTCCTCATATCAGATACTCTAGACATCTCAGGTCTGAGGATCCAAGAACGAACCGCTGTATGAGATTCAAGTCATGTCCATATGACAATCTCATGCGGGTCATCCAGTCACTCGTTCCAAACGAGTACCCATGATTGTCATTTGCATCCAATGCATATGATCATCATCATCAATCAAACATCATGCTGGTCTTAATTCATCACTGTTCCCACAATGACAACTGACCAGAGAATTTAGAATCATCTGCAATGATTCATGGATATCTACCGAAACATAACAAACATGCCAATCATATCACGGGAAAAGAGGTGCATTCATAAACCAATGAATCAATACATAGTCTATATGTCATATCACGGATCATCGTAGAGCATTACAACTAACAGTAATTAAGGATCTCAAGACCTTTTTTAAAAAACCCTAATTAAGCTACACCTATCTCTCCTTCTCTCACTAGAAATATTTGTATCTCATGGAGGATACTTACAGGATTTGTGAGAGTTATATATAACAAAATTAACGTTTTAACGAGTAGCTCAATTTCGTAAGTATTTGAATTATTTTGCTTCCGATTAATATTATTGTAAAACTCTCGAATCATCCCCTCAAAAACAGTTTTCACATCGTAATATTATTGTAACATTATTGTAAGTATCTAAATTCATTTGTTTCAAGACTATATAATATTTTAAAAAAAGAAATTAATACATGTTTTATCTTTATTTATTTTTTAAGAAATATATTTGAAAAGAATTCTAAAAAAAATAATTTTAATTATATCAAAATTTAAGAAAATTAATGTTATAGGACCACACATATTTAATTATTACACAAGATAAAATCAAAATTACTTCATAGATAAACTTAGGGTGACACAATTATATTCGTAAAAATAAATAAAAATATATATATGTCAATAACTTATTACAACATTACTGTGATATTCTACATTCCAACCATAAATCAACTATGGTATTGCATAATCAAAGAATTTGGGGCAGATAATAAAAGATCAGATAAAATAAATTGGAATGATAAAAAATATTTTTTTAAATAAAATACATTTTGAATTAAATGAAAAGATCTAACTAAATGAGACCAAATTTATTTAAGGAAAAATCCCCAAAAAACAC